CCCCCCCCCCCCCCCCCCCCCCCCCCCCCCCCCCCCCCCCCCCCCCCCCCCCCCCCCCCCCCCCCCCCCCCCCCCCCCCCCCCCCCCCCCCCCCCCCCCCCCCATGGGTCCAAATTTCTACCCTATATACTTCAACACTCCTTTCAGATCGGGTTTCACAAAAGGATATACTTATCATTAGGGAACCACATTTTAGCAAGCTTGATTATTAAAAGCTATTTGGCTTAACTTGCCTACTTGCAAAATAAAAACCGAGATAATGAGAAAAAATCAACATTTTTGAATTAATATGGAAATTAGTAACATGAAGTGCCTAGGTTTTGTTTCGTATTCTCATATTTATTCAGCCATATATTGTAAATATGGGTGTGAGTGTAGGCCACTGGTTAGATTAACAACTAATTCACAGACCGACACCCACCCTCACAGTCAAACATCACATACCACACCCGCACCCACACCCACACCGACACTTAGTCACGTTAAAATTTAAGTGAATTTAGCGTTAACGCGAAACGCTTAGTACTTACTGTTACGTATTACGTTAACACTTAATTTTAAGTAATTGACTGGCTAAAGTGAACATTTTTCTATTAATATTAGGTGTTAAATTAAAAATTAACACTTAATATTAAATTAGTCCAAAGTGCCACCCCTACCCACGCCCACAGCCACACCCACACCGTCAATAATCTCAATTTAAACGTACAACGATTTCGTGAGGAGCACCTTTCTCGTGCGAAGATCACTACTATAAGCAATCGTGGAATTGGGCACCTGTTGGCATAAAACAGTGGGATTTTTCTCATTCAAACACAAAGTGAAGCACACAAATCGCAAAACGACGCTGAATCACTTCTGATAGCTAATCGATGTGTTCTATTGAGCGTAAAAATCAGCCGAAAAGGTTGAATTTGGTTGGAACGAAACAGTGTGAAGGGTGAGTGTGGGTGTTTAAAAGAAATAATTCATGTGTTTCATTACGATGAAACAGTGGCACAGTTACGCCGTAACTGCGATTGCACTGTAACCCGTAATTGGGTGTAGGTGTGGGTGTATTTGAGAGCATATTTTTTGTAATACACCTACACCCATACATTTTGAATCCGCTAGATTGTATCTACTCAATGAAAACTAACGCTGACACGTTTCTTTGTGAATACAAATTTTAAACCATAAACTGCCAACGCTTGTTTGGTCTGCAGTAACGTAACACATTACAAAATATGAGTTTAAAATCAAAAGCATTAACAATGTGCCTATTTCAATGACGTAGAATTTAAAAAAAATTGAATTTGCTCTATATTCACAAAATTTCATCGCCTAATAACGATGAGAATATTTCAGCAACAGAGCAATAAGTATCGCCTATGTGAAGTAACTTGAAAGGGTTCATCTCAAATAGAAGTCAACGAAACGATAAAGAGAAAGCTTCAGATCAGTTATTAATTGCTGGGTATCGTTTGAGCATCGGAGCCTAGAAAATATGTCGTCCAACACACGTAAGATTATAAGTTTGTACTATAAACGTTTTGTTAGATGAACACGAGGTAATTTGGATAACAAAACTTTCAGAATTCTAGATAAGTGAATCTCAACTTTTAAAAAGAGGCGATAGTGATAATGCAATTTTTATTTATTTGTGAATCTTTATTTGTATAAAAGTAACACACAGAACATCCATAAAATTTCTATCGGTAGTTTTTTCATTGCTAAAAATATAAATAACAATGAATACAAATTACTGTTACGAACATATTCTACCTTAAAAATACTTGTTGACGAAAGTATTCAAAAAAATAGAAAATATGAACACATATTGAATTGATATTATCTAACTTCCTTGTATTTTCGTAGAAGCTTTCGATCTATACCAGTGTAGTGTATATTTACTTGAGGATGTGTGCTTGTGGGTGTGAATGCCACTTTCAATAAGAGATACACCCCCACACATCTTTTATGAAGAAAATTCTGTGAAACTAACCCGTGCGGCAAAATCCCGATAATTTTTAATAGTAAACCGCGATACACTGTAAAGTACTTGATAAATATTTGAAAATTGCAATAAAAGTTAAAAAACATCATCGGTTACTCGCTAACATGAAATCCGTAGCCAGGTCGGTAAAGATGTGGTAAACTGGAGCTGTGCCCCTTGTTTTATTACATAAAAACATATTTGAGATAACTCGACAGTTCTCAAGAAAATATTCAAAAATATAACTCTTCGGTAAATCGTTGAAATCGTCTTTGGTATATTCAAAAAATGAAGCAAATATCACCATTGCATAGATTGACATTATAATGTGTCATCATCAACTGAGTAAAACAGTTATTACAGTTAACATTACAAAGTTAAATAAGAGATATTTACGAAGCAATGTTTACGGCAGAGATTAATTTAACGAATAAAGAACAGCCTTAAAAATTCCTTTTATATTTTAACTTGAGAATTCTTGAAAAACTAAAGAAGTTAAACGAGACCATGCTGAGACTGATATCATCAAAACGATAAAATCTACGTATGGTGATGCAGTAGGCTAGGAATGATAAGTTAATAGAAAGAGAAGAGAATCATTTTGTTTATTTTGACCAAAGATAACATAGAATGTCTGTTATCTTAAATGTAAAATAGTGAAAAAGTAAGATATGATAAATAAAATAAAATTTGCACTTGGATGAGAAACAACAAAACCATGCGGGAACTATTATGCGTTGTATTTGTTGGTAAGATCTTCATAAATTGATTATTAGAAGCATGCATTCGTTTTAATATTGTCTGTAGTCCTTAATTACATTTCCTGCATACATGCAAAAACAGTATATGATTGTAACTTTGACGACGCAACTTCTGCTGACAACTGTTTCACATCAACAATAAATGTTGCTGCAAATATAGGAAATCCGACTGCCGTAGTGCCTACTGGACCTTTATCAGATGTGACCTCTAGTTGTAAGATAAAATTTGAAATTCACCATATATTTTCTTAATTTAGAATATTTATGTCTATTTAGTGAAGCCTACAGATAGTGGTGAAACATGCAAATTACCTTATAAAGTCGGCTCATTTAGTTGGGACATGTATTTTTGTAACAGAGGATATTGTCCAACAGAAAATAATTCAAATAGTACATGTAAACCAGGTTAGGTGACCAAGTGCCAAATCGCATGATTTTATTTGTTTTACACTTTTTTCTTTTAGGAAAATTTAGCTCATTATCATTAAATAATAATATCAAAAATTCCTTTCAACTTAAAACGGAATCTGGCGGAATTGATAGTGTAGATCAGCAATGTCTTATTTATTACTATTACATGTCTAGTATCGCAAGCACGAAAATTATAACCGTAACTAAGGAGGAAACAAGTGGAACAAAAACAACCATTGACTCTGTCACAAGTAGTCCATTCAACGGATGGATACAGCGCAAAATACTCTTCAAAGCTGAAGCACGTGGCTATAAAGTTTGATACTTCTCAGATAAAAAAAAACATTTTATTACCGGTTTGATTTAACAACTTTTTAGCTCTATTTTGAAGCGCAGAGAACATCTGGTTTTCAATCACAGACTGTGGGATTTGATGAGATTTCCATTCACGAAGGCAGTTGTGGTACGTATACATTGACGAGAAAGAGGTTATTCTTCAATTTTGATACGTTTAGATGATCAACATATAACTTCTGACCCAACAGCGGTAACATCTGTGCCAATCCAAGCAACCACGACAACCACGCCAGCTGGGACGGCTACTACCACCACACTAGCTGGGATGACTACTGCCACGACACCAACTGGGACGACTACGACAACCACTAAAATACCTGAAGCAGTTCAGACATCAGTAACAGAAACCACAACAGCAGCATTAACTTCGCTAATCGAGATAACTGCATTAAATACTACAGAAGATTTGGTTACTACAGCTGTAACAGTAAGTGAGCATTGTAAGATCAGTATTAAATATAGTATTCATTTAAAGGATAACACTATGGCTTCATTGTTCACAAAGGATGATACCACTAACGCTGGGTGAGAAATTTTACACATACTGTTTGTTTTCTGGAAAACGTTGCATTTATTAGTGCAACAACCTTGATAACAACGAATATTGATCTGTCAACGGTAATAGAAAATATAAGAATAATATCAAAAAATATTCTCAAATCAGAGATAACTATAGTAGATACCTTAATTACCGCTAATATTGCAAAAACGATTGCTGCTACAAGATAATTTTCATGCGAAACAAACACGATCTTTATGACTTTAATAATGAAAAAAGTTGTCAAACTCTGTAAAGTTTAATTTTGTTTTTAGATACTTGAAGCTACAACTGAGGATGGCGCAGATTCTGATGATAGCAGCAACACTCTAACTATCATTTTGGCCACTGTCATTCCTGTTGTTTCAATTGTACTGATAAGTACAATCATATGGCTTAAAAAATCATCTTTGAAAAGTTTTTTTGCTGGCAATTTACATCAATCATATCCAAACAATCCAAATCCTTTATTAAACACTACTATAGAAATGAATCGTGTTGCACCTATTTAATATTCTAATAAAGACTAAAATAATTTTCACAAAGAAATTTCGTTTACTAATTGAAAAAAAACATTGTTAAAAATTACACATTGCTTCAGTTTTCGATATCATTTTTTGTTAAGCTTTTTGACAGTATTTCTCATTGAAATTCATATATTCTTGATCTTAGTCAACGAACAATAATAGTAAATAGAAATAATTTAACTATTAGTATTGATAAACAGGTACAACACAATCGATGCTTTAAGTTGCATTATATAATTAACTAAGCCAACAACACCAGTGCCTGTAGGAGTATGGTGGCAAATCAGCGAAAGGTGTTCAGCGAAAAAAACAGAGAGAAACTATTTTGAGCCAAGAGAATATTCAAGCCCAGTACTTAAGTTTTTGTGTTGGCGTTGCTAGTCGATAAACATATCCTGAGCAAATAAACATTAATTTACCTCGATTATAAGTCGTAAACGAGAGTATTGTTGAGTCAGCCATCGCTAGTTGGTAAAATGGATTAAATGAATGATTTATGTACCAGTAGACAGTGTAATGCCACTAAGCGAACGATTATACACCAAAACAAAAATATATCAGATTACGAGGTCGATAACAGCAGAAAAAACAGTTGCTACTATACTATACATACATCAGCCATAATGATTCATCATCCACTATAGACATACCAATCTTACCCAAAAAAACAAATTTCGCTACTATCTACAACCACTTTTTTCTGCTGATAACAAAATTGTGACATTTCGCTATTGTTTATTTTCGCCTAAATTAATTTTGACTGTAATAATTTTCGCGCATTGTTTTCGCTGAAAATTCTCTTCGCTATTGGATTTTTCGCTCAATCGATACCATATCAATCAATTAAAATGATTCCAGCTCAATCACAACAAGAACAAAAGCAACAACGAATTCAACAAACTCAAAATTTACGTATTCGAGTACCTACAGGTCCAATCCCAATGGATCCAAAAAAAGTTGTTAAAAGTTCAACAGCTCCTAATTTACCAACAAGCAATTCCCTAAGTGAAATGTTTCGCGTTATTTAACAAACATTTCATAGAACTTTTTTGTTTTGTTGTTGTCTATATGAATATGCGAAAATAAATTTTACATAATTAAACTATAGAAAAATAATAATAATGAGGCACAATCAAATTTGATGATGTAGCTAAACAGACGATATCATCGTAATTATCAAATTAATCTCGATATGAGACTAATTTAGATACATTGACTTACAATGTAAAAACAATATATGCCGATACCGTAATCGCCATAAGTGGTCGCGCCCTCTATTTGGTATTCAACAACGACCTTTGCTACATCGTTTTGCTTTGTTTGAAAGACACACTATTTATACCCATCGTCTGATATCATTTATAGCTATATAAAAGAATAAACATTGTTTTCCAGTCGAATTTACTATCAAAATAAGCCTGCTGATTTAGAAATACCTTAAATAAATCTTCGACAAAATCTTTAGCATTGTATCACATATATTTTTTTGTTTCTAGATAAAAATGTCTACACAATTATCAACAGGAACTTTTATAATTCTCCTTATGGTGAATTATAGTATTGCTTGGTTAGTAATTTTCTCTATTGGGTTGTATTTCGGATATTTACAAAACGTGGATATGACCATTTCACAAGCGCACTCATTCAACTATGATCGATCCAAGATATTGCAGTATATTAAATCCAATTGTTCAAAAATTTTCGATGAATACCCCGCAATTTGGTATATCTTTGCAGCTTGAATTATGCCAAATTTATGACAAGTCATAAAAAATAAGTAAAATTGCTGTCTTGTTATCAACACTTTATAATACATATTTTCCGTATGTGTTATATAGGTCGTCGATTTTGCCTCTCATAATGATGGCAATTGTGTCATCGGTATTGTTTTTTACAAGTTGGACTCGTGATTCATTCAGTGTACAAGTAATTGGAGCGTCATTAGTCACTGCTGGTTTTGTTATGATCATTGGGCAATATGTATTACCGAACCTCGACGTACATTTAAGCAATCTAACTTCTAAAATACGCAGATGGTTTTCAAATGATCATGCCTACGAAAATATACCGCCCAACCAAGAAGAACATGAAGACTTCATCTTTGTTAATCCCATATGAACTTGACTTTTCTACCGATCAGATGATGAAAAATAAAACATTTCTTTACTTCTCTTGATAGAACTTAATCTCTTCGTTTAGCTAATATTAACAAAGCATCTGTCAAACTAAATATTTTAATCATTCAAATATTTACTGTATTTATAATTCAATCGTAGAGTTGTGTATTGCTGTTTTTTGCTATTGGTATACTTGTCTTTCAAAACTAGGCTAATCTTAGCGCAAATACACTTTGTTGGTAAAAAAATAAGAAATGAATTTAAGAAAACCTTTTATACTTAATAAATAGGGATTAAAGAATACAAAAAAGTTTTAAACGTCGAATATTTTATGTTCAACTCATATCGGATTTCTTTCAGTAGTGATATTCTACTGAAGGGGTTCATAAATGTTTTTTGAAGACAACGAAAGCCTTTATTTAAGGAGCCCTTCAGAATCGATTTGTCATATGGAGCGATCATTTTGGGCTGAAAATTTCAAGAATTAAAATAACTTTGTGACTATAAGAGATAGCGAGGTCGGATTTGTTTCAAATTAAAGCTAGTCTCTTTATCATACAACATCCAGATCCAAATCAGTAAGTTGGGTTCTGTGTAATGAATAAAAATTTATTGATAATACAAATAGGACAACACTTTCAATTAAATTTTTAGATCAAAGTATCGGCAGGTAATCATCAAATTATTTTTAGTATCGAGATGAAAACCAGAATAGAAAAAAGTGCTTTTCTCGTTGACAGAGTTCTTTCTTGAAATCTGTGTTCAAAGTAGTAGTACATGCCAATTCGTTGAGCATCACCATGTTTAAAGAGCGATAACTTGTTTTCATTTCAAAGTACCCAGTGAATGAATCAACTGGCACCGTGTAACACATAATTAAGATTCATAAACTATAATTCAAATTTATCATAGAAATCATAAAAATGAACGTGTTATAAGAAGAGTTGAAAAACTTTTAAATTGGACAAGATATAAAAACAGTAACAAAACATACTAAAACAGTATCTTGTATCTCGTCAGGGGGTCTGGAACGGGATAAAAGATCAATAAATTGTTTTTGGGCGGATACTCAATCAGAAAGACGACTATCCGTATATTCGTCTCGGTTTTATTCATCGCCAACTGACTACAAGATACAAGCTCGACTTTACTTAAATGAGCACGGAACTGTTCGACGTACACATACATCACTGTTTTTTATTGGAATGCGCGAATCAAATGATACGATCTTAAAATTTCTCTTGAAAAGTCACGTTATCGATTTACTTCGACCAGATATTAAATCGAATAGTTTTCAAAGACTACGATCAGCAATGAATACTACTAGTAGTTTATCTAAATTCTTTCCATTGGCAATGATCTAGGAAAAAATTAAACCATATGTTCGTGATGATACAATGTTTACTAAAATTATGGTTGAGTTTGGCGACATGTCAAAGATACCGATGCATATCCAACAATTATTGGGTGCTAATTTTGACTGTGATATGTTTGCAAATATTTTTACATTTGATTGTTTTATGAAACCCCCAGAGTTAAGGACTATCTTTTTTGTCAAGAATTTGAACAATAACTGAATAAAATCAATATACCATCAAAAAAGAGAGAGGGACATGCTTACCATAAGAGAATCACATTTTAGCAAAAATGCTTATTAAAAGTGAGCTAGCTTAGCCTTTCTACTTGCATAATAAAAAGGAGATAACGAGAAAAAATCAACATCTTTGATTTAGTATGAAAATTATTAACATGAAGTGTATAGAGTTTGTTTAGTACTCTCATAGTATAGTCCTACTGTATCAATGAACAAGTCTAAAAATATTTCATATTTTAAACAGATAAATGCATTGCTTTTATGAGTTTATTTCAATTTTGATGTTCTATCATTTACATACTTATTCATCTATAGATTGTAAATATTGAACTATATACATTACAGTTTTAAGATTGTGAAACTTTTGCTATTGTTTAGTTTCTTTTTCTTATAATTGATAATATTCACTATCTGAATATCTGTATGTTTCAATTGTTTTAATTTAGTATTGATATTTTTGAGTGATTATGGTTGATTTCTTTCAGTCGTAATTAACAGGTTTTTATTTTGTGAAATTATCAAGAAAAAACTTCAGGATATTTCTAAATTGCCATTTGTATTTTTTCATACATCTTTTTACTGATTTCTCGTAGTGGACAGAATAAATTCGATTGGAAAGAACATAAATTCAATCAGAATGAAGAAAAATTCTTTTCCAAATATTCTCATGAGAATGTGAGTTTTTTAAAGTACAAATGCAAATAAATGAGCTGCACGTCGTCTCTCTATTGTTTTCAGCGGGAGAGACAATCAAATATCGAATCGGGATATAATCTTACTGATTGTATTTTTATCTGAATTTAATATAAATGATAAATATTTTTTTTAAACGAATCCTAGATTGTTGGCAATGAATAGTTGAAAGATCGAGCATAAATTGTTGTTACAGAAATTATATTAAAATCGGAGAAACATAAATTTTACAGAACAAAGAATTTTTTGCTGTACGGTTAGTCGACGTCGACTCGTCTACTGAATACTTTAGTGTTTCTATATGCAGTTCTTATCACTAGAATTAATATTTTTAACTTTTATACAAAAAAACAACGAAAAAGAAGCAGCCAGAATGCACAGAAACGGAACGGGAAAAGTGTTGCCCAGCCGTAAAATGCATAAAACAAGCCATCTAAAAAAAGACGATAATGCAGGTAGTAAGAATTTTGCCCAACAACAATACGCTATTTATTTCAAGTTTGTATTCATGGGCGAGCAAATTATTAGAAAGATTAAACCATCTCTCTATTATTTCACTAGACACATGAGTAGAAGAGTAATGAATGAAAGAAAAACGAAGGACTAATTATTTGATGTAAATTTATAGGCGGACTTGCGATTTTACTCAATGATGTACAATGTTTTGCTTCTTATTCAGTAATTATTTTTATATCCCAATCGGCCATGCGCTAAACACACTCACAATTTGATTCTTTTACTATAAAAAACTAGCGGGACATCGTAATTCTAGTTTTCATTAGATAACATTCGAATCAATACATTTTAAATCCGATAGATTGTATCAGCTCAATGAAAACTAAAGCTGACACGTTTCTTTGTGAATACAAATTTTAAGCCATAAACTGCCAACGCTTGTTTGGTCTGCAGTAACGTTACACATTACAAAATATGAGTTTAAAATCAAAAGCATTAACAATGTGCCTATTTCAATGGCGTAGAATTTAAAAAAAATTGAATTTGCTCTATATTCACAAAATTTCGTCACCTAATAACGATGAGAATATTTCAGCAACAGAGCAATAAGTATCGCCTATGTGAAGTAACTTGAAAGGGTTCATCTCAAATAGAAGTCAACGAAACGATAAAGAGAAAGCTTCAGATCAGTTATTAATTGCTGGGTATCGTTTGAGCATCGGAGCCTAGAAAATATGTCGTCCAACACACGTAAGATTATAAGTTTGTACTATAAACGTTTTGTTAGATGAACACGAGGTAATTTGGATAACAAAACTTTCAG